GATTATGTCAGGGTCTCGTTTTTTCACCTTCCAATCTTCTCCCAAGGTTTGAGGCTCACAAGCCTGCGTGTGTAGGATTTGATATGAAATGGCACAACCATCTCTTTCCCACTGCAGGTGAGGAAATGCTAAAGATTTCCCAAGCAAAACATTCTCCAAGAGAAATCCACTCTTCCAAAGTTTAAGGTTCTCTCGACAATTTATTTATGAAGGGCACATTACATTTGTTTGCCGCCTATCTTGCTGCAAGGGACAATCTTACCAATAGTTACAGCTGAAGTGACAGAGTCCTACCATCTCTTTTTGGAGGCTACTAAATCAGCATAGTCTGAGTCAAGAAAAAAGTAAGCAAAATAAACATCATTACAGAAATAAGAAATCATGATTCTGTCTCAATATTTTTACTGGTTTGCTTGGAGAGCCTGTATTGTAAACTGCTCCAAACCACAGATTCTTACTTGCTGGGAATAAAAAAGCTTGCAGTTAGCAGACTTAAAGAGAAGAGTTGGTTGTTGCTTCTTTTTCTTGAAGAAAATCTTCAATCAAGGAGGTTTCTTTTAAATCTTTGAAGCATTTCTGGAGCAATTGTGATATTTCTTAGGAATATTTCTCTGTGCCACACAATAAATATATTATTTAAAAAGATGGAAGATTCACATTTATTTATTTTTCTTAAAAGGTAACATAGTCTTAAGCAAGCTGCTCAGACATAAGTTGACCTTGGTTAATTTAAATATATTAAGGAAATCCATTTTTAGCTTCTACATTTAATTTTGGCATTATATCAATTTAGCTGACCCAATTTTCTGCATATTCAAGAGCATTCTTTCAATTCTATACAACTCCTTCACATCACAATAGAGTAATAGGTAAATTAATTCCTACTGCTTCCTACTCCATACATTAAATAAATTCTGCTTTGGAGAAAAATAATACTGTAGGCTATAAATTCTATGGCATAGAGATTCTTGGTTACATTACCTCACTATATTTCATGCAAATTAGTTAAATGCATGTTATAAAAAGTGCTTTTTCCCCTGTTTTAAAAAAAGTTATTCAGATTAATACAAAATATCTTGGTGTTTGAGGATTCTTATTCCAGATTTACATTTCATTCAATATACCTCCTCTAATTTTCTACTTCAGATATTATTTAAGTGAAGCATAACTTCTATACTGGCTAGATAAGCCCACTGGAGAACAGTAGACTTGTCTGACAGCAATAACTTATATGACAAGTGTGATAGATAAACTGTGTGATTCACACATCTTTGTAAATGGAAGGCATTTTGGTGCTCTCTGAGCTTGGTTGTTTTTCTTGCAGATCTTTCATTACCCAAACTAGGTAACATCATCAGTGCTAGTAAGGGAATGTGATTTGCTCTCAATGTATTCAGTATTGTAGTGGTTTCAGCGGTGGGATTCAACAATTTTTACTACCGGTTCTGTGGGCGTGGCTTGGTGGCCGAGGCAGGGGAAGGACACTGTAAAATCTCCAGTCAGAGGTGGTATTTGCTGGTTCTCTGAACTACTCAAAATTTCCGCTACTGGTTTTCCAGAACTGGTCAGAACCTGTTGAATACCACCTCTGAGCAGTTTGCCCTGTCAGTGTTGGTGAGAATGGTCTTGAGGTTCTTTGGTTGGGCTGTTAATTGTTAGCTTGTTTGGCAGACCTTTGATTGGGGTATTACTTACTTCTTGATTGTTGGTCTGATGTTAATCTTGGACTTCATCTATGCTCATCTGGATGTTTATTGCTGGTGGGGAGATTTTTTTGGTCTTTTTCTTCACTATTTGGCTTGATTGTCTCTTTTGCACAGCCTGTAGGTGTTGTTTATGTCTACGTGCCTATTGATGGGCAATTTGCCAGTGGGTCAGGCTTCGAGGAATTCTCTAGCATTTTTGGACTTGGCTTGATCCAGGATGGTCATGGTTTCCCAGCTGAAGCTATGGTTAAGTCTGTCCATAAGTTGTGAAATTAAAGAGTTTTCATCATGTATCCTGACTGCTAATTGGTGTTTATGGATGTGCTCTACTAGTCTTCTGCCTCAGTGCTACACTGATGCCATGTGGTTATAATAGTCTGTTGGTGGTTTCTGAGATGCTTTAGATGTATGCCAGTGTTGTCCTTTTTACAGCTTGTGTTGGTTGCACTATATTGGATTGAGTGGTGAGGTACTTTTTGCTGAAGTTGCATGGATATCCATTTTATTTATTTATTTAGAAAATTTATATTGCTGTCTAATCACTCAATACGATTCTAGGTGGCTTACAAACAATAAAGCACAGTATAGAAAAAAATTAAATTTAATTTAAAATTTAAAAAACAATAAAAATAAAAAAAACATAACACTCCATCCTACCATCATTGATAACTCACAGTCAAATAAGCCATTTGATGGGTTCCCCCATATTCTGGGTTCCCCAGACCCACTGCCAAAACCAAGTCTTCAGGGCCTTACAAAAGAGTGTCAAAATGGGGGCCAATCTAACTTCTGAAGGAATGATATTCTAAAGGGAGGGATCCACCATGAAGAAGGCCCTTCTTCATCCCACAAGATGTACCTCCTTACGGGATGGGGCCCGCAACATTTCTCACCTTCCCACTGTAGTGGCAAGAGACAGTCCCTCAGATAACCTGGTCCCAAGCCACGAAGGACTTTACATTTTGTTGGAAGATGTATAGATGATCTGTTTCTTTTTTCTACTGTTCAGTGTTGCTGCAATATGTTTGTGCTCATCCAAATAGACTTCTTACACAGGTTCTCTTGTGGCAGATTGGATCATTATTTTGGTAGTGGAGCACTTGATTCATAGCGGAGGTCATACTACAACATCTGGAATCACTTCCACAAATACAACCCAATCAGTGGTGGGATTCAAATTTTTTTTACTACCAGTTCTGTGGGCATGGCTTGGTGGGCATGGCAGGGGAAGGATACTATAAAATCTCCATTCCCACCCGACTCCAGGGGAAGGTTACTGGAAAATCCCATTGCCTCCCCACCCC